GAAGGGGGGGGGGCATCTGGGATGCTTGTGGGGAGTGGGTGCCGTGGACACCCATCTGAGGCAGAGTGCCCTGATCCGGCAGACTGCTGAACCATCCTCAAAAAGAACACTCCAGCCTCGCAAAGAGCAGCCGAGCTTTCTTCGAAAATGACACCGTGACTGTCATTTTTCCATTTGCAGGAGAAAAAGAAACCGAAGCAGAAAGAGAGGATTTGATCGAGTTCAAGTGTTTCCTCCCATCACGTTTTTTAAACCTTTGGAACCCGCTGTTGCCTGTCTGTGAGAGCCTTCTCGCAGACGGCAAAGGGAGCGAGCAAGCAGGAAAATGAATATGAACAGAAGAATCTGGAACTGTGATTTCATAAAATTATGTTCTGCGTGCGGAGATGGGAGAGAGAGAGAGAGACCTGAATACAGAGAAGGCGACCATCGCGTGTGCTTTGCAAAGAGCACACCCCCCCTGGGCTGCCCTTTAGGGCCCACGACCACTGCTGGCACTGACTGCCTCCAAGACCACTGTTCTCATGACCCCTTTGGGGGTTGAATGACTCTTTCACAGGGGTCACCTAAGACCATCAGAAAATACTTCACAGTATAGACTTACATATTGTTTTGTGGTTAATCGTTATACTTTAATTATATTTAATTACGTTCCATTTGTAACAGTGAAAATACATCCTGCCTATCAGACATGACAATTCATAACAGTAGCAAAATGACAGTGATGAAGTAGCAACGAAAATAATGTTATGGTTGGCGGTCACCACAACATGAGGAACTGTATGAAAGGGTCGCAGCATGAGGAAGGTGGAGAACCGCTGCTCTTGAAAATGCTCGTGATATGTTCTCCAGGGGCCACTGACCCCCAAGTACAGGCCACTGTTGACATCTCGTGTCTGAGCTGAGCTGCGATGTGTGGTGTTTGCTCAAACAAACCCACCAAGTCCCCACTCCTATGTGGCAGTTAGAGTTGATGTCCTGAATATGTGTGAGAGTGTAGGGGTGGAAACCTACCTATCAACCAGGTCAGAGCCTGACGATGCCTTCTTTGGGCGGGTGGCCTTCTGATAAGGAAGAAATGGGGGACCGCCCTCTCTCTGCTGCCCTTTGACCTTCCTGTTTGCTGGGACTCTGCCTGCTTCCAGCGGGGCCCACATGGGTCATCAATCCTGAGAGCTGTCGGCACCCTGCCGTTTCCACTGACTTTGGATCCGCTCAACTCTGCGCCCACCAGCCTGTGATCTCCCTGCGTCCCACTTCACCTTTCTGCGTCAGCCTGCAGCTGAGTCGGAAGAGGGCCCCGTCTAACATATAACTTAGGGACTTGAGGTAGAGCAGGCTGGGATGCCTTCTTGATATAAAATTACTTGGTGGTATCAAGCTCTTCCTTCTACCTATTGGAGTCTCACCGGATTTATTTCTCTAGACAGCCTGGCCTAACACACTCTGATAAGGGCTTCGAGGGTTGCTTCCCTAACACTGCTCTCTCCACCGTGCCTTGGAAGAAATGTCGTAGTTGGTAACTTATCACTGTTATGGTCCATTTGTCTTTAGTGTATCCGTGCTTTTGTGGTATCTTGTCTAGCAGAATTATATCCGGGTTAAAACAGACTGAATTCGGAAAGATCGATGGACATCTTAGCTAGGCTTGAAGGAGGTGAGGTCAAGAATGCTCGGGAAGAAGGCTTTCCAGAAGCGGGCTAGGTTTTCTGTCCCGATCCCATCAATCTATGAGCATTTTCTCTGTGCTTGTTGTGTGTCAGCCTCCGTGGTAGGCACTTGGAGGCTTCAGGGATCACAGATGAATTGGGCAGAAGTAGGGGGCAGCCACGCACACAACCCCTTCGAGCAGCAGGCGCTGTACAGGAGGGCATGAGACACAGAGCACTCACGGCAGAATAAGAACCGGAGTCTGTCTGCCTGAATGGGTCTGACAGGGTTAGGCTGACACTTGAGAGATGAGGAGTCGCTGGGCAGGCAGGTTTGCAGAGGAAATGGGAGCGCATGGGCCCAAAGCAGAAGGGAACGGGAGGATGTGGGGAGTGATGGAGCGTGGATAACTAGGTGGCGCTGCTTCGCCACTGTCCTCCCTTAACCGTGTCTTCCTTCCCAGGGAGGGTCCAGCCTCCAGTCCATGACAGAGACTGGCATACACAAAGGGAAATGCCCGGTCTCTACAACCCAACAGCCCCAGCTCGCCCAATGGTACCACCTTAAGCAAGCTCGAGAACTTCTCTGGGGCCCAGTTTTCTCCCAAGAAGGGAGAATGATCGCTGTCCAGGCTTAGAAACCCTATCGAGGGTCACTCTGAGTCAGGCTCAACTCAACGAAGGCAGTGGGTTTGGGTTTCAGGGATGTTTTGAGGGTAGTCAGATACACTGGGGGGGGGGGGGGTAGTCTATATGTTGCCCAGCACGTCGTAGATCAGAGAGGGTGATAAGAGAGTCCAATCCTCCATGCGACTCCATTAAGAGTGGCCACCACTGCAGGGTTGAAGGAGGATTCCTGTTCACAGTTCAACTCAGGGAGATAAAAGGTTGTGGTCCTTTGCAAGGTTTGCTGTAAGCAAATGGAAAAGAAGTGATGGCACCTTCTCTGCTACCCTAGAGAAGATGTTCGGTAGCTGCTGGCACCCTTCTCCTAACAGGTGGCATCTCCTTAATGGAGGCCACCTTCTGTGAGCGCCCGTTCTAGGTCTCCAGGGTAGAGTATACCAGCCATGCCTGCTACAGATATGGATCATACTGGTTGAGTTCAGGGACCTTAAGGCCAAGACAAGCACTCAGGAAAGCCTCCATCAGCTGTCAGGACCCCCGTCTCCCCTCAACCCCAGGGCCCCCCCCACACACACACACACTAATGGGTGGGGCTGGAGCAGCACTTGAGAAAGCAGTCATCCTCTAGAGCAGTGGTTCTCAGCCTTCCTCATGCCGCGACCCTTTAAGACAGTTCCTCATGTGACCCCCCAACCATCACATTATTTTCATTGCTACTTCATCACTGTCATTTTGCTACTGCTATGAATTGGGTGACCCCTGTGAAAGGGTCATTAGATCTCCAAAGGGGTTGCGACCCACAGGTTGAAGACCACTGCTCCAGTTCTTTAATGCTCCCCTGGCCCACTATCATGACCCCCATTCTACCTTACAAATCCAGCTAGAACATAACATGTATGCTGGTACACATAAGAGCTCGCAACACAGGAAATCCAAGACAGATAAACCCCTCAGGACCAGTAATGAGAGTAGCAATACCAGGAGGGGAAGAGGAAGGTGGGGGGGAGAAAAGGGAAACCAATCACAATGATTGACATATAACCCCACCTCAGGGGGGACGGACAACAGAAAAATGGGTGAAGGCAGTCAGTGGTTGGTGTAAGACATGAGAAAAATGATCATTTATAAATTATCAAGGGATCATGAGGGAGGGTGGGGGGAGCTGAAATCAAGGGCTCAAGTGGAAAGAAAATGTTTTGAGAATGATGACGGCAGCAATTGTACACATGTGCTTGACACAATGGATGGATGGCTTGTGGTAGAGTTGTATGGGCCCCCAGTAAAATGATTTTTAAAAGAAAGAAAGAATATACATGCCCAAGGGCCCTCCTGAGCAAACCAACAGTTCATGATTTCAGGCCCAAGTGCTGTTAAGTGCCATCAAGTTGGTTCCAACTCAGAGCACCTCTGTGTGCAACAGAACAAAGCACTTTCCAGTCCTGCACAACCCTTACCGTTGTTCTCATGTTTGAGCCCGTGGTTGCAGCCACTGTGTCCCTCCACCTTGGCGAGGGCCTTCCTCTTTCACTGCCCGTCCACTGTGCCAAGCATGATGTCCTTCTCCCGGGACTGGTTTCTTCTGACAACATGTCCAGGTTACGTGAGATGAAGTCTCGTCGTCTTTGACTCTAAGGAGCATTCTGGCTGTACGTCTTCCAAGACGGATGTGTTTGTTCTCTTAGCAGTGTGTGGTCCGTTCAATGCGCTCCAGCACCACCATTCAGATGCGTCTATTGGTCTTCAGTCTTCTTTATTCAGTGTCCGACTTTCACATGCATATGAGGCGATGGAAACGACCCTGGTTTGGGTCAGACGCACCTTAATCCTCAGGGTAACAGCCTTGCGCTTCAATACCCTAAAGAGGTCTTGGGCAGCAGATTTATCTAATGCACCTCATCTTTTGATCTCTTGACCATTGCCTCCACAAGCATTGATTGGGGATCCAAGCCAGACAAAATCCTTGACAGTGCCGTCTTTTCTCCATTTATCATGATGTTGCCTATTGGTCCACTTGGGAGGTTTGGGTCTTCCTTGCATGGAGTTGTAACTCATACAGGGCTGCGATCCTTGATCTTTAGCCACAAGTGCTTCAAGTCCTCACTTTCAGCAAGCAAGATGTGTTATATGCATATCGCAGGTTGTTACTAAGCCTTCCTCCGATGCCGATGATGTGTTCTTTTTCATATAATCCAGTTTCTCTGATGATTTGTTCAGCATACAGATTGAATAATATGGTACGAGGAGCCAAGTGGGATTACCACATAAAATACAGAACCCTCGGTTAAATTCGAATTTTAGATACACAGCAAATCCAATTTTAATACACATTTCATGCAACATCTGGGACATACTTTATACTATAAATTATTTTCCATGTACCTGACACTCAAATCGAACTGGTGCCTCAGTTTTTGTTGTTTTTATAGTAGTTTGCTTTTTCTCTGTGAGGCTTTATTTCTAAATCTGCCATCCCTATACCCAGGCAAAGGATCTAGACACTGACCCACAGGCCACCAGGGTTCTAGACAAGCCTTCCTTGGTGGGCTTTTCAGAGTCCCCCTAAAACCCAGTCCAGGTGGACAGGTGAAGAAATACTAAGCTTCCCTGGCCCAGTGAACTGAGATGTGCACTGATTAAAACTACACTTTATTAGCTGGCTTGGGTCAGAAACCAAACCACTTCTCCCAGCCTGCCATGTCCGGCATGGTTGTTCCAGAGAGACTCCTACAGGTCACAGCCGTCCACCCAGTCGTTGAGGTCCTTGCCCTGACAGTGATGCCTCCAGGCCTCCCTGTAGATGACAAAGGGAAGAGGAGAGGGCACGTTAGCCAAAGCTTAATTCAGTCCCTGCTCAGAGAAGAGCGAGCATGCCAGCAGGGCTCTAAACCAGAAGTGAGAGGAGGAAGGAGACTAGCAAAGGGAAGAGGAATGAGTACATCGGATGACTTCCTAAGACTCCCCGTGGAAGAAGTCAAGGGCACGGGAGATCATGCCCTGAGCGTGTCATTTTTCTAACCTCCATGTTACCAGTGGTAACAGTATAATCTGTTATCCCAGAAGTCAGTGGCATGGACCTAGATCTCCAGAGTCTGGATCCCAAAACACGAGGGTCTGGATTTCCTAGGCTCTTCGGATAATGCTGCTTCTGAAACAATGATGCCACCTGGCCTGGGCACATAGCATTCCCTCATGCACCTCCCCTTGAACAACCTGCCACAGCCACCGTAGGAGCTATGTCGACACATAGCATGCTCCCGTGTTCCAGCTGTATAGCTGAAACTTTGATGAAAAAGCACTTGCCCAAGATCCACCGCTAGCAGACAGGATTGTGTCCACAGCCAATTCCTTTGACTATCAATCTGGGTCTTTCCATTGTTGGCAACTCTAGAGCTCCCAGGCTCTTCCAGGACCCTTGCTGTTCTAGCTCCGCGTCTCTAGCTGACATCTTGAGGAAAATAGGTAAGGCCATGGGTCCTGGGGTATGAAGTTCTCAAGGGTGCCAAGCTCTGATCATCAATGTCCTCGATGATGTCATTGTCAAAGACTCCAAGTGCCCCGAAAATCCTCCCTAGATCTGTTCCCCAAGAACAGTTGAGTGGCTTGTTAGTTTCCTACACTAGGACCTGGAACAACGTCCGTTCTCAATGTGCCGGTGGGGAATAATCAATGATCCCCTTCCACCCTCTAGAACCACTTCCTGTTCCCAGCCTCAGCCACCTCTCGAGGTATATAGACCAAAGTATGCGTGCCTCTCAAGGGTTACATTATCTACAGATTTACCCCCAATGATAACTGTTGCAAACAACAAAATTGAACCCCCAAAGACCTATTTCCTCCATCGTAGAATGGTGTCTCCAAGTCCTCAAGCTTTTGGGTAGTGCCTAAGGCTACAAACATCACCTTTCTCAAGTATGTGGGTGTCGCCATGCCCTGGTGCACCTGCCTCGTTGTGGACTTGGTTTCTAGGGCTTCCCTGCCCCCAGCTCTGCTCCCTGCTCCTTCATTGTCTCCATCCTAGTCTGTCCTGGTCCATTGCACTGGCCATGGACCAGAGAGGGCTTAAGAACGAGAGATGTGATGGAGGAAGAGGGACGGGTGAGACGGAGCCAGAGGGGGCAGGTGGAAATGACTCTTAATCTAGAGGAGGTCCACAGATCGACGTTATGAGTCTAGAGAAACTCCACAGAGAGAGCATGTGAATCTACAAGTCCATTGATGGGGCCTGGAAAAGGCTGCCGCTTTGTCAATCAGAGCTGGGTCTCTAGGATCCAGCTCACTGCTCGCTCACACTTTGTGTCTCTCCGTCTTGCACACACACACACACCCATCCTACCTCCTTCCTCCAGTCTAACTCTCATGTGGAAGCCTGCAAGGATTTCCAAATGGGTCCCCCTCCCTTAGTCTCTCCCTCATCCTTCTGTTCTTGAGATATGGTGTTCAATTGCCTTCTAACTACCTCCCTAGCTTTGTCACCTGCTCCAGTCATCCATCATCCTGATGTACCAGCTACAGGGAGTACTTGACCTTCCCCAGATTCGACCTGCCTGCTGGTTTCTCATGCAGAAATCAGAGTAAACTGAAGCCTGGAGACTAAGGAGGGAAACGCCCAACTAAAGAGACTGAGAAGCTGTGCTGTGAGGCAATGCTTCAGAGGCACCCCTGTGCAACAGTGATCTACTTCTACTCCCCACCAGGTGCTCCACTGTAACATAGGCAATCATGATTCCCTTGCCGGTGAGGATCCAGCTTGGGGAAGGAGCTGAGGACTGCGAAAGCTGAACCAGGGAGCTCCAGAGCCCCACCTATTCTTCAAGCAGAGCACCTCGTCACTGATCACTTGTACACAAGCTCCGGTTTGGACAAAGAGGGTATGTGTGTGTGTATATATATATATATATATATATATATATATATATATATATATATATATAGAGATAGAGAGAGAGAGAGAGAGAGAGAGAGAGAGAGAGAGAGAGAGAGAAAAGAGAGTGTGCGTCCTGGTCTAAAGGACTATTAATTACACAGGCATCATAGCATAGCAAGAATCTTGGAAGAGCCAGACTCTTGATCTCCCAAACTTGGTGCAGTCTCTTAAGGCTCTGTGACCTCCAATGAATTGCTTATCCCCCTTAGAGCCCCGTGTGTCATCTGTGATACTCTCATGGTAGAACGCCCATGCCAAGAGCAACTGTGAGGATGTGGGTCCTGTGTAAGGGAGCTAGTGCCTGGCACAAAGTGGGTGCTTGGAAAGGTTAGCTGTTGCTGTCTGAACCAGTCCTAATTGTGCCACCTCAAAAGGTACCCGACCCAAACAACTCACCAGCTGGCCAGACCCCGGGGCCCCTGGGCTATCTTCATGGCACAGATGACGGCTTCCTTCAGGCCCGGCTTCAGCAGGTCTGAGGGGAGGCAGAAACACACATGAAGAGCAGGGAGCAAAGCCGGACACCTGGATTCCAGCTCACTGCTTGCTAACACGTTCTTGCCCCCCTTCTTGCATGCACACAGGACCCCCTACCTCCCTCCTCCATCCCAACCCTAATCCTGTCTTGATTCCTCTGGCAGGCAGCACAGGTGGTATTCTGCCCCTCTCTCGGAATCAATACCCCACCCTTCGTTCCAATAGCACCGAGGACAGCTGGCCACCCCCAAATCAGATTTGTCATCATCCCTTGCCCCATTCCCTTCTCCTCCATAGGCCCAGCCGATTGTGGGGCGCGGGGGGGAGACGCAAAGACTGGGGCATTGCCCCAACTCCAGCCAGCCTGGGCCCCGAGCCCCGCCTACCGGTGCAGTACATGCGGCACAGGTTGGGAGCCTTCTGATTGAAGTTGTTGCACCACTTGCGGCTGTTGATCTGGAAGATGCCGTTGTTGGTGCTTCCATCTGCCTCGTGGTCCACGGCAGCTGTGTTAAAGCCACTTGTGAAGTAAGCAAGGCAGACCCCTGAGCGGAGCAGAGATACAGGCCTGTGGGTCAGACAGTCCAGAGGGGAGAGGCAGCCAGGGCCCAGGCAGGCCGACCCAGACCAGAGGGCACTCAAGGTCCACCAGGCACCTTCTTTCCACTGAGTCTCCTCCTGCCTCAGGGTGCTCAGGGCAGCGTGCCTCCAACCTGCTCTGCAGAGGAAAAGTGGAGGCCCAGAGGAGGGGCATGACTTGCCCAGGTCAGGACTCGACCTGGAGCCAGCATTCTCCCCTGTGGTTCATTGCTTAGCACCTCGTGGGGCCAAGCAGTGTTTGTTGGAGTGAATGCACAAGAACCAGAGGCTTTAGATGCGAGGCCAGGAAACCACAAGTCTGGTCTCAATCGGGGCTGGGACTGGAGACAAGGGGAATCCCAGCATGGGGAGGCTTTGCAGACAGCTTCCCGAAACAGTCGCCCTCTTAGAGCTTGGTGTTGCTGGCTCGCTCGGTTTGCCCCGTCTAAAGCCCTAGAGGGTGACGATGAGTCAGAATGGACTCACTGGCCCTGAGCCGGGTTTGGGTTTTTTACAGTTCGATTGTCACCCCTGTGGTTCACGGCTGCCCGGTCAGCACCTGACTCGGTGGTAACCCTGCGCACTGTGGGATGGAAGGCTGCCTGATCCTGCACAGTGGGACCACGCTGTTGTCATCCAGAGGGTGCCGTGGGCCCTCAGAAGTAGGTCACCAGGTCTGTGTTCCTAGCCTCAGTCTAGAAACGCCGCTGAAACCTGCTTGGCATCTGGCCAGCACACAGGGTCCCCACTGACAGACCCAGCTCCCAGCCCCAAACCACCAATTTTGGTCAAAAACCAATTTGCATCGAGTCACCTTGGACCCACAGCAACCCTAGAATGTCTAGCCAGCCTCCCGTGGCAATGACTAAGCTTGGGGCCCTCTGCTATGCTGTTCCTTTGACTGCTGGTTTTGTCAGCGGGGAAAATTAGGAGGTCCCCACCCAGCTGCCTCCCACCTGCCCACCAAGAGTTTAACTCAATGTTGGGCAGTTCCTATAACCCTCCCTTTATAGGCACTAACACAAAGACTCCCCCAAGCCACATCCCTTGAGCAAGAGGGAAGGAAGGTGGGGAGTGGCAATCGGGGAGAGGGGCCGGCAGTGGGGAAGGTTCTCACAGTCAGCCAGGCTGTGTCCACGGTATCCTTCCAGACCAAATTCCTGTAGTACCCTGGCCAGCTCACAGCGACTGTAGACCTTGGCCTCGCTGGCAGCCAGCAGGCAGCTGAGCAGAGACAGGAAGGCCAGCATCATGCTCCCGGGCGGGTGCAGCCGCCTCCTGGGAGCCCAGCTCCTGGCTTCCGTGCTGGTGGCAGAAGCAGAGGCCCCGCCACTCTGGCTCAGAGCTGGGCTCGGAGATGGCATGCCGCTCATCAGCCGTGGCCGTCCTGTCACAGGTGCCTACTCCTCGGAAGGAGGAAGAGAGGAGAGACAAGGTCGGAGTGCACCCCTGGGACACGGGGAGCAAGGGTGGGTGAGCAAAGAGACACCAGCGATGGAAATCACCTCCCTGGCCACCCTGCTGATGCATCCATCATACATCCGAGACCCGGAGAGGGCTCTCCACGAGCAAGCCTCTCTCCCTTCTAATCCTGCTATAACCCGCCCTGGCTCCGCAGCTAAGGACCAGGCGAAAGACTGACAGACACTGAGCCCTACACTGCATGCCAGGCATTCCGTAGCCCTAAGACAGACCCAAGGTTTCATAAAGTGTAGACCCAGACTCATGTTTGTGTGAATCCATAGCCCCACCGGGGTATAGCCATGAGCAGATGTTCCCAGACTTTCATAGTCATACATAACATGTGTTAGAGTCAAGTGTGACAGGGGGAGGGTAGGAAGACGGGGTACTGTACTATGGGCATGTTCAGTAAGAGTTAACCACATGTAAAGAAAGCTGATGGTGCCTGGCTATCAAAAGATATAGTGTCTGGGGTCTTAAAGGGTTGAAGATAAACCAGCGAGCATCTAGCTGAGAAGTAACAAAGCTCACATGGTAGAAGCACACCAGCCTGTGTGATCATGAGGTGTCTATGGGATCCGTTATCAGGCATCAAAGACCCAAAACAAAAAATCATATCCATACGAATGTGAATGGGGTGGGGGTGGCAGAGTGGAAACTCAAAGCCCATCTGTAGACAATTGGACATCGCCTCACAGAAGGGTCACAAGGAAGAGACGAACCAGTCAGGGTGCAATATAGCATGGGAGAAACATACAACTTTCCTCTAGTTCCTTGATGTTTCTTCCCTCCCCACCCCAACTATCATGACCCCGATTCTACCTTACAAATCCAGCTATATCAGAGCATGTACACTGGTACAGATAAGAGCTTGCAACACAGGGAATCCCGCACAGATAAACCCCTCAAGACCAATAATGAGAGTAGTGATTCAGGAGGGGAAGGGGAAGGTAGAGGGAGAAAGGGGGAACTGATCACAATGTAACTGTTCACAAATATATCTCTCCCAGGGAGACAGACAACAGAAAAATGGATGAAAGGAGATATTGGTCAGTCGGTGTAAGACATGAAAAAAATAGTAACATCAATTATCAAGGGTTGTTGAGAGAGGAAGGGTGGGGGGCGGGGGAAACGAGCTGATACCAAGGGTTCAAGTAGAAAGAAAATGTTTAGAAAATGACGATGGAAACATATGTACAAATGTGCTTGACACGATGGATGTAAGGGTGAATGGATGGCTGGTGATAAGAGCTGTACGAGCCCCCAATAAAATGACTTTTACAAAAAGAGTTAATGGCACAAAGGAAGAGAGACTTGGTGGACTGCAGGCGTGGCAGGAAAGCCTGAGCTTCCCATCAGAGGGTGGGGAGGGCGGGGAAGGGAGAACCTTCTCTGTGTTCTCAAAATATGTCAGACCAATTGCCAGGGATGGCTCCTCCCTTGCTCTTGTCTAATCAGCTCAGCACTTCCGTGCCAGTCCCCCAACTTACAGATGAGGACACCGTGGTGACTGCCACACGGCGGCTGCTCCTGATGTTCGTAGCAGAGTCACCCAAACATGATCTCATCCTGAGGGCCTCACAGCTGCTCCCCGGCTAGCAGCAGAGCCCAGAGACCTACCAGCATGGTCCCCTCGCTTTTAGCGCGTCTCTCTCCCAGGCCAGGACCCCCGACCTCTAACCGCCCCCACCTCTGGTCAGCCCAGCCCAGGGTCCTGTTTAATCGCTCACTGGCCAGGCGTCCTCCCCACCAGAGCGGAGACAGCCAGCTATGGCAAAGTGTTGGCAGGGCAACCCTTCAGCGCGGGGCGCCCCTCCCCCCACACTCCTGCTGCGGCCTGGTGGCCAGCGTTAGGACAAGGATGGGCACGAGGGAGGCAGCTCCGGTCTTCTGGAACCCCCAGCTCTGTGAGCTCATCTTCTAGAACAAGCCCCACCCAGTGAGCTTTGACTAGCCTCCCTTCCCAGAGCCCCTCACTTTCCAGGTCTAGGGGCATCTTTGTTGTCAGTTACTACGAGTCAACTCCAACCCCTGATGTCCATCCCACGTGCAGTGGACACGTTGCCGAGCCAGCGGCGTCAAGACCCGGGGTATGTTCGCCTCTGGGGTGGCGGCGGTTTCACTGCCCTTCAACCTGAGGGCGGGTGGGGGTCCTCCCGCCGCCTGCTATCAGACAACATTCTCTGAGGATCTCTGACGTTTTCATTGGCTGATTTTCAGAAGTGGATTCAAGGGTGCTTCTTCTTCGTCGGCCTTAAGGGGCTAGCACCTCTGAAAGCTCAGCACCATGGGCAGCTCTCACGGAAGGACACACTGACAAAGGTGATGGAGGGACATCTGTGGTGGCTGCTGCTGCCTGCCATGCCGTCACTCCTGACTTGCGGATGGCCTACAGGTCAGAGGCAGGCTGCGCCATAGGCTTGACAAGTCTGTCAGCTTTCTGGAAGCCGGCAGCCACAGTACGCCCATCCACAGAGGTAGCCAGCTGGTTGGTGGCTTTGACCAGCCAGCCGCTGAGCACTTAACCACTGCAGTCCTCACGCTGCCCGCTAGGCTCGCTCTGAGTTGAATTATGGGTTCACTGGTGACCAGGTCTTTCTCCTGTGGGTGTGTTGAGTGGCTTCAAGCCACCCACCTTTCCGCTAGCAAGGGAACCTTTAGCCGGTTGTACCACCAAGAGTCCTTCATAGGGTATTACCATAACTGCCGGGCGGACAATTTTGACGCACGGTAACCCTGGAGGACTGAGCAGAGCTGCTCCTTAGGATTCTCGAGCCTGTGACTCTTTCTGCACATAGACAGCCTCATCCGTCTCCCACAGAGGGGCTGGTGGGTTTGAACTACTGACCTTGCAGTGAGTAGCCCAGTGTTTCTCGCACAGGACTCCTGGGCTCCTTTCACAAGGTATAGATGGGACAGCTCGGTGAACCGTCAACAGAGTGCTGAACACAGTGTTCACCGTTGACTCCACTCTGACTCACCATAGCAACCCGACATATAACAGCATGCCCTGCAGCAGCCCCGTCATCGTTGCTGGGCTTGAGCCCATTGTTGCAGCCACAGTGGTAATCCACCGTGTGTTCAGTACACCCCGGCGGAGCCTAGCCACGCGTGTCCTCATATGTTTAATTCACTGCACCAGGGGCACCTGTGTGCCCCACCCCAAATGGACCAGAGTATCATCTCAGAGGGTTGGCCAGACACCAATTGTGGTAGTTACACAATCTGGTGTCAACTTGAGACTATTAAGAGTGAAGGTTCAATCAAGTTGAAGCTTGACCTCATTTGGAGGCGCTAAGGAGATAAATAGCTCAATGGAGACCAGACCCATACACTCGGCTTCATCTTCCTGTTGACAAGACACATGGAGCTACGCTGATGGAGCCAGAGCCCTGGAGCTGGAGGAGCCACGTGGTGACCCCCACCAGTGCTGAGATGCTTCCAGTGCCACTAGATCCACAAGACTTTTGACCCATGGGCCTGTGATCTTCGTACATTCAGTGCTATTGCATGTGTAGTGTGAGTCTGAAGAGTAATTTATACACTGGTATTGGACATGTGGGCTAATATTGGATTAATGGGCTTGATCTGAACTTGGATGGGGTGTTTTCTCAATGGACACTTGCTTTTTCATATAAAGCTCTTTCTTATACACCTATGAGTCTCCCTAGATTTGTTTCTCTAGTCAAGCTGGACTAACACAATATTTCTTTTCTTTTTCAGCAGTTTTATTTTTTTCCTTATTATCAGTATTCTTTGAAAAAATTGTTTTATTTTAATAAATCATTTTATTGGGGGCTCATACAGCTCTTATAACAATCCATACATCAATTGTATCGAGCACATTTGTACATTTGCTGCCATCATCATTTCAAAAACATTTTCTTTCTACTGGAGCCCTGGGTATCAGCTCCTTTTCACTCCCTCCCTCCTGCCGCTTCCCACCCTCATGGACCCTTGATAATTTATAAATTACTTTTATTTTCATATTTTACACTATCTGCTGTCTCCCTTCACCCACATGTCTGTTGTTGGTCCCCCTGGGCGGGGATGGGGTGTGTTGTACATCGATCGGTTCTCCCATTCTCCCTCTTCTGCACCCCACCCCCACTTGCCCCCTACCCTCATGGCATCACTACTCTCATTGTTGGTCCTGATGGGGTTTATGTCCAGAATTCTTTGTGTCGAGCGCTCTTATCTGTAAGATCTAGCCATATTTGTAAGGTAGAACTGGGGCCATGATTATGGAGGCTGGGGGAAGCATTAAAGAACTAGAGGAATGTTGTGTATTTTGTCAGCTATACTGCACCCTGGCTGGCTCATCCCTTCCTTGTGACCCTTCTGTGAAGGGATGTCCAATTGTCTACAGAGGGGCTTTGGGTCTCCATTCTGACCCGCCTCGTTCACACCAAAATGGTTGTTTGTTTTGGGTCTTCTGATGCCTGCTCCCTGCTCCCGTGGACACCTCATGATCGCAGGAGTTGGTGTGCTTCATCCCTGTGGGCTTTGTTGCTTCCCTGCTAGATGGCCACTCGTTCAGTGTGAAGCCAGGTTTGAGAAAGCTTTATCTTGACTTCGATTTCCTACTCTGCCAGGAATTAGCTAGTTCGTCTTAAACAAGTTAGACTCCAGTTCCTCCTCTATAAAATGTCCCGCCCACAGGAACCTTGGCCTGCTTCTTCACCTCCCGGGGCCTGGTTTCTTGCCTCTGTACAATGGAAATGGAAAACCTCCCTTTCCTCCAGGATGCTGGTGGCTGCTTCAACCCCTGAAGGTGCTTACCCTTTTATTGCCTGGCCCTGGGTGGTGATTCTGTCCATTTGAGTTTTGGTACTTTTACTGCGTCGGCCTGCTCTTACTATTTGATAGCCTCCTTTTATCAAGTCATCGTTCAGCTTATTCTGCTTTATTGTGTGTTTTGTTATTTCCCAGTTGACTTTCGCTTTTAAATGCAGACTAAGAAACAGCCGCTCAAAAGGAGCAGTTATGAGGGCAGACCAGGCCCCAGCTGGGCACTGGCAGGTCTTTCTCTCTCTGCGGGGCTCTACCCATCTTCCCTGTTTCCCTAAACACCGTGGGGGTGTTTGACCTCAGCCTCTTGGAGATCCGCCACCAGCTGCCTTCAGGTCTCGGGTCTCCAGCAGCGGTGACACTTACAGCCCTGGCTCTCAGGCCTGGTGGCACTTTAGAATCCCTGGAGAAGCGTGATAAACCGTATGTATGGATCCGGTTCCTGGATCCAGCATCCATTTTGGTTTGTTTTGCTTAACTTTTTATTGTGCACTGAAAAAGGATGTACAGAGCAGGTCAGCTTTCAACAATTCATACATTTTTTGTTTCGTCTCATAAGTTGCAGCCTCTGTCACGTAACATCATTCCCCGGTTTCCTGATCCCATTCTGCCCATCCTTTTTCCTTTCCTATCTCCTGCCTTCTGAACTTATCCTCTGGCAAATGCTGCCCTTTTGATCTCGAGTGATTGATTATCCTAAGGCACGCATGCCTCCCTGGTGTAATTGTTCCCTTTGTGGTGGTGATGGTGGTGGGCTCCATGCAGTCGGTTCCGACAGACCAATATTACTTAGCTATAAATTGAATCATGGGGTTGAGTTCAGTTCCAGGCTTTAAAGGTGACTAAGAGCCATAGTCTCGGGGGTTCCACCAGTCTCTAGCCTGCCAGGAAGCCTGGTCATTTTAATGATTTTCAGTTTTGTTCCATATGTTTCTCCCATGCCATCTAGGATCTTCTCATGCGTTCCCTTTCTGAGTGGTCACCGTCTAGTAGCCGGGCACCATCTAGTCACGATGGTCTCCTGGTCAAGGAGCATAGGTTCGTGAGGTCCAGTTGTCCAGCGGCCTTTGGTTTTCCAAGTGGGGAGAAACCAATAGTTGCACCTCAGATGGTCACTCACAAGCTTTCATGACCCCTGACACCACTCATCAAAGGGGCACTTAGAACATTCATCGTGGTGCACCAGTATGGTTTCAACCTTCTCAAAAATATCAAACCAACTGACGTGGGGCTGATGGTGCAATTCTCCTGGATAGGATTGAATGCTTGAACTATTGTAGTATACGATATGTAAATTGCTTGCCAATAAAACTGTTGAAAAAAGCATATATCAGACAAAATCTACTACCATCATATCCACTTAAACTCATAATGACACGATGTTTCTCCGTAGGATTCAGAAGCTGATCAGCAGGCCTTTCGTCAAAGGCACCTCTGGGTGTGCTCCGGCCATCAGTCTTTTTGTTACTGGTGGAATGTTTAACCATGGGTGCCACCTAGGGGTCCCTAATGCTCCCCAACTGATCTGAAGCACCACTAGGACTAAGAACCACTGCTGTGACCAAACTTTTTACAATTTCCTAAATGTGTGATTTTCTTTCTTTCTTATTTAGCATCCTTGTCTTTATATATGTTATTTTCTCTGTCAACACACTTCCTCTCCCCAAGTCCCTGACTAGCTTCTTTTTAAAAACCTCACTGCTATCACGTCAACTCTGACTCAGAGTAACCCTACAGGACAGAGTAGAAGCGCCCCTGTGGGTTTTCTAAGACTGTAACTCTGTACTGGAGTAGAATGCCTCCTCTTTCACCCATGGAGCTGCTAGTGGTTTCAA